ACCAACACTCCTCGAAGACTATCTCACATGTGTTTTGAATGCATGTAAAATAAGTGCTTCATTAGCATAGATGAAAAGTTTCGGTATTTTGCACACCAAGCTACCTAGTGCATACATGTGTGCTTCCATTGGCTTAGTGCTTCAATATTATATGTGATGTGCTTCGAACACAAACACAATATATTTCCTAATACCTACGTGTGTGCATGCATCAGTATAAGATATGGCATGTTTCAAACTCATACACAGTATGCTCCTAGCTAGTACATATATGTGTGCTTCATTCCTTGGACCACAATGAAAAATATTTTGGCACTATACTTTTCATGCTTCACCTTTCATAAAAATCCAATTCCAAGTCCAACCATGCATGCTTCATAGCAGCAAATATAACTTTACATCCAAATCCAACAATACATGCTTCAAAGCATAAAATGAAGCACTAAGAACGAAGCATGAAGGGTAGTCCCCACAAAAAAAAATGCAGGATTGCATTGTTCTGACTATGTACTCACACATATGCTTCACTGGTATTATTACAATGATTGGGTACGTTCATGCTTCAACCATCACAAAATTTATGTTTCTAAATACAGCAATATTTGCTTCCTCCAATATCAGGATTAATTATTGTTTATCTAGAGTATTTATTGAAAGATGCGTGATCAGAGAAAGCTACTAGATCTAATCCTATAGTAGTAATTATGGGGAGCACACTTGAAAGCATCGATGCTTCAAGGATGTTTATAGTTTGAAAACCACAAGAAGATGGGTGGTAATTTGAGATTTGGAAAAAAAAGAGGGTGGTAATTTGAGGAGGTAAATCTGACGGTCCACAATAACTTGATCCAAGGGCCATGCACCTGTCTCATTCCTAGCCGTGTCCTATAAAAGGGTTCGGCATCCGGATTCGTGGTTTTGAAACTGATCCAAATTTGACTCCCACCCAAATCCTCTCGGCCGGCCCTAGCTATGGCGTCCCAAAGCAGCCCGGCCGGAGCGCCGCCCGGTTTCCCTAAACCTGCGAACTACCTTGCCGCCGCCGATCTTCCCCGTGCCCTCGAACGCTGCCGCGTGCTGCTGGACGAGCTGCTGCAACATGAGGACGGGTGGATGTTCGCCAAGCCGGTGGATACATACGAACTCGGACTCCGCAACTACCACTCCGAAATCCGCCAACCCATGGATCTCGGCACCGTCCGCCGCCGCCTTGAACGGCGTCGCTACCAGAACCCGCTCTGCTTTGCCAGTGATGTCCGGCGTACCTTCCGCAACGCCATGACCTACAACTACAAGGGCGATGATGTGTATAAGAGTGCTGATGTGCTCTCTCGCATCTTCGAGTCAGGGTGGGCCTCCATTTCTGCAACGCTCCAGTCGCCACCGCCGGTCGCCGAGCGCAGGGCAAGGCTCAAGGATAAGCTGCCGCGGCTGCCGGTGGACTTGCAGTACAAAGCGGCCGTCATTATGAAGGACGTAGGCGGGTGGATCCAGGAGGTGGATGGGAGGGTTGAGGTGGATTTGGACAAGGCCGACGAGGCGACTCTTGACAAGCTCGAGTGGCTGCTCGCTCTCGCCACTATGAGGAAGGTAATTATTTTGTCCATTTGCACTCCTTGTGTTTCTGATTTGGGCAGTATAATTTTGCGATGCTTGGTAGCAATCTTGCCCATCTTTATTGCAATGTTGTTTAGCGATCTTGTCCAAACGTGCTCGTGTAGGCTGTGTTAACGATGGAATTTCGTGGGGCATGCTTGCATTACCTATTTTTTGATGATCTAGTAATATCAGTGTGAAGAAATTCCCATTTTGGGGGACAGCAGGGTGAATATTTTCGTCATTTTGGAATCGGTAGTGGTATTGTCACTATGCCTTTCTGGGAGACTGAATTGCATTCTTGATACAAGAAGTTGTCCAAGAAGTTCAGTTTCATACATCAAGTATCAAAGTTTAGTAGTTTACACTTGGGTACATGATGCTGTATAAATGGTACTACAAAACAGCCCCACTCACTCACGCGATGCCGACGTGGAATGCCACTTTGATCTGGAGCGTTTGGGCGGTATTTTTCTCGCGTGAGCGGCACGTGAGGGGGAGCGGAAGGGACGTGTGTGCAGCCAGAATTAGTTGTGGTTGTGGCTTGTAGTTTTTCACTTTTTTGTGCTCTTTGCGGTTCGTTCTGTCAATTTCAACTGGGGTTTCATGCTCTTGATTAATCTCTCTGTAATTGGTAGTTAATGGTACTACCTCCATCTCAAAATATAAGACGTTTTTGTAGGCTCTCAAAATATAAGAGGGTTTTGTAGGCTAAACTGGCCTGCCAAAACGTCTTATATTTTGAGACGGAGGCAGTAGTAGTTTTGCGAATGTTGTTGTACTATATCAGGTGATAAATGCATCAGTAGTTTACTGTTTTGATAGATTGCTCTGTTAGGATTACAATGCCCTTTTTTCACATATGTTCATGCAAGTATTTAGAAAGTCGACATCTTTCAATCGTGTCTTGCAATGTAAGAAATGATGTTCATCAGTTCACTTTGGAAATACATCACCATGGTTTTTCTCTGGCAAGACGCGCACTTCACCAATGGCATGTGCAGCGCCGTCCTCTGGCTCTGCCTCGCTGTTTGGCCATGTCGTCGTCCCTGGGTTGAGTGAGTGGGATAGGGGACATGTGCGAGAGGGGTGGCGTGAGTGCTGCCGCTGGATTTGGGTACGAGAGGAATGGTGATTGAACTAGGGATTTGACGCTCGATTTGAGAATTTAGGACCAATGGCTATTTTGAAGACTAAATGATCAAGGAGGACCAAAGTAATAAGTTGTAACTTGCAAGTTTTCCAAAAAAAAAACTCCAGCCATTAGAGGTGAATTGGCACATGGGACTGTTTGGTTTCCACCCGCGCACGCCCTGCCAATAGCTGGCGCGCTAATATGTTGGTGAGAGAATCTGCCGCCAGCGTTTCGCCCGCTCGTGGGCGTAAAAATTGAACTGCCCAATATTGGCGTGGCTCCCAAAATTTGGCGTCCATCCAAGCGGCTGCTCGTCTTAGCAATGAACCCCAATTTTTTTGGCGCGGCAGCTTGGGGCTATAATCCAAACGACCCCATGGCGTGCCCCGTTGGCCTCACGTGGTTGGGCTGAGCTATTTTATACCATTAATGCAACATCATGTACCCAAGTGTAAAATTTGATACTTGATGTATGGAACCGAACTTCCTGGACAACTTCTTGTATTAATAGCGCAATTCGCTCTTTCTAGGATTTCACCTATTAGATTTTGTGTGGACGAACCAGATTGGCTGCAGTTCATCCTGCCCATAGCCCTTGGATCATAAATTGAATACTCTCATCAAGGAGTTGTATGTTCTGATCGTTGGAGTTCGTGCTTTGTCATTCTTCCCTCGTGTAGCTAATTGGAAGATTTTCATTGTTTTCTGTGAGATGCATTAGTGATAATGTTAGATTGGCATGGAAAAGTTACTCCAAAGAATTTATGAGCTATCTAGAATATGTTACAGTAAAATATGTTATTCCAGGCTTTAGAATGCCATGTGATAATTTTGTTTTCCCAGACCATGCTATGTTATATATGCTCCGAGGAACATACACAGGATGATTGTTCGAGATCCTCCTAAAGCTGTGAGAACTGAGAAGTAGGCATATTGTGTTTTAGCTGATTCACCGTGTACTGTGAGATGTGAAATACCTGAATGTTTTGGATATTGTTAGCATAATCCTTGTGTCTTGTAGCATAGTAGTAATATAGGTCTGGTCTGGCAGTTTTCCTTAGCTATTAAGATAAGCTTGCTGCCTGATAACTGGTAGGTTGTTTTGTCTGGAGAGGGAATTGAATGCTGAGAGATGATGAGACTTTCATTTTGATTTAAGTATGATGATTTCAAGTTTTCAACCATAGTCACCGGGACCTGAAGCCACTACCTCTGGTACTCATCAGAGAGCTCCTAAATATATACCTGGATTAGAATAAAATTGTTACTTAAGAATAAAGAGCTTTATTGCTGGGTCATTGACCTGGGTTAACCGGCTTTGCAACCACATCCCGAAGAACACTAAGTCTCTAACCATCTCATCAACCCACATTTTTAGCCGGCCATGAATCTGTCACAACTTCCAATGGTTGTACATTTGTGAACAAAGGGAGCTTTTGACATAATGTTTCAAAATACTAGTAATATTGTTGAATATAGTCTGTTGGATTTGAACTGAGAGTTTGTGGATCTGTACCTTGTTAGTGACTTGTGTTTTGAGTAGTCATGATCACTAATCTAGTTGATTTGGCATTTTGAGGCTTGAAAATTTGCTTCTTTTTTTGCGCACACTAATGGAAAGGAAATCTACCACAAATACTAGTTTGTGGTCCATATTATTCATGTGGAGTTGCTGCATGTCTGCTACTTGCATTTCCAAGTGCTGCTAGGATGCTTTGAAGCATGAGACAATCATAGTAATGTTTTGTATTTGACATTGTAAATCTTATACCTAGATTTCTTTGTTTTCCTTCTTTTGTAAACTGTTCTCCTGATAGCTGACACTGACGTAAATGTGCACATCACAGCTACAAGTATTGCCAGGATTTTTTGAAGTAGTATAAATGCAGACACTTTGACATGATCATATCTTTGCTTCTACTTGTAATATTTCGTTCTGCCTTGGATCTCAATGTTGCCCTTTTTGGTTGCAGGATGCAGGAGTGCTGGATAATCAAACTGGATGTGGCGCCGCATGATTTTACCGCCATCAACTGTCTCTCGGTTCCAGAATGCTGTTGACTTAAAACATGGCTTCCCTCTTTTGCGAATGAGCATCAGCATGATTTCTAAGAGGATGTAACATGGATTTGTATGAATACCCCAGTGTCTGTTGTTGTTTTTGTTGTTGTAATTTTGGGGTTTGTATTGATGGTGGTTATTCTGTTTGTTGGTATGTTGAATTAGACTTTAGACTTGTGATGATACTGAAGAACTGTAAGGATGTGTGGAACTCATGTTGTTGGATTGTTCATTAAGTATATGATTTTGTGGGTGGGTTTTGTGCCGTCAATTGCACTGCTCAAAAGATTGGTGACAATGCAATCGAAGTATCTGGATTTGGAGGGGAAAATGTAACATGGACCACTGGACCGTAACTTCAGAAAGTCTTTGTTCAGTGATCTCTGTCTTATTTTACTTCCTAAGTTAAGTACCTGGGAAGAGGATCACAGACAGCAGCCAAAGCAGGAAGAGCGGATGCTCTTTTGTTTTACCAGATCAAGTCGAACGCCTTGATGTCCAATGGCCAGAATTGCCTGGTGGACTGTTGCTTCAGTTTTTTGTGCTGATTTATGCCCTAATAACATTCGGCAATTCTATGCCTATGCTTTCATCCCAGAAGGGGAAAGCTTTTTATACTGTCAGTTTGGCTGCTGTTTGCTGGGCTATATGGATGTCCAATGGCCAGAATTGCCTGGTAGACTGTCGCTTCAGTTTTTGGTACTAAAACATTCGGCAGTTCTATGCTTGGTGCTATGCTTTCTTCCCAGAAGGGGAAATCTTTTTATACTGTCAGTTTAGCTGCTGTTTGCTGGGCTATATGGAACTGCCATAATAGGACGACATTCCAGTTTAAGTTTCCTAAATCTCCATTTGAAATTGTCTTTGCTTCCTGTGCTTCTTTATTATACTGGGCAGGGATGCCGAAACATGGCGATGGGGACGATCTGAGGAGAGGAGCCATGATGCTGAAGGACAACGCCAACAAGATGATGAGGATCTGTGTAGCAGCACAACAGCGTTCAGGCTAGGCTGATGGCAGGATGTGCAACTGATTCTGTTGCTGGTGATGGTCTTATTTTGTTTCAGTAGGTGGTCTTGTGTTCCTGGGTTTAGTCCTGATACCTGTGAGTGACCTTGCCCCTGTGTGGGTGTTTTGCCTTGTGGTGCTCCTGCATGGGCGTTCAAAGTGTTAATAGGATAGATGGATTTTGGTGTCGCGTCGTGTTCTCGTCCCCATAACGGGTGTTTCGATGACAAGCACCTGTGCTGGATTTCCTGGCTATGCGTTGAACTTGCATCCCCTTTCCCGCCCCCTATAACTCAATGGAAAGGGATTATGCCTGTTTAGAAGAAAAAAG